TTCCCACGCCACCGGCATGACAAGGTCGAAATACTGTGGACATTGTGGCTGTGGGTTGAGGGTTTAATGCAAGAAATGCCCGTATTTCAAACGCGCGAAGTGGGGATAACTACCATTACTAGGTTTGAGCGGAATGTGAAAATATCTGGGAGTCAGGCACGGAGGAAGATCCACCTCTACCAACGTCTTCAGATTACTGAGCGCTGAATTCGCTAACCGAAGAGCTACTGCCGTGGTATTAAGTAGCACCAGTTAGCCTAGAGTTCTAGGAGAGTTTTGTGGTGACGCGTAGACAAGCAGAGTGTTTTGCTTGAGGTTGACTCTGGGATTCGCGTCGTTAACAATAAAGTTGCCCAGGGCCCAGAAGTATAAATACTTATATACCTACTATATGTTATTTAGTAGGCGTAGTTATGTTTACTACTGCACTCGAAAACTCGGTAATCCTTACCTTTGTGTGGTTACCTTTAGCTATATTGGTTTTAGTTTAGTTCTTAGTTTATTGTTTACTTTATTAGTCTATTTTAGCTGTAGTTTTAGATAGCTTAATATCCAACTCATTTTAATTTTTAAGCGACATAGGGTTGCTTTTCGGCTTATCTACTACAATGTATTTCCAGGTGCACTACAAATTATTGTGAGTTTTAAAACATTAGGCAACTATTATTTTTGATGTTTTTAATTTAATCTCTAAATTTCGATCTATTTGCAGGTACTTTTGCACAGCTCTTCTGTTCTATTAATTGTATTTGTCATTTTAATTATCGCACGCAAATTTGGTCATTTAAGTAATTACCTTCTATTATCTCCTACTTTTAAACGCCCTTCTTTTTAACTAATTTTTTCCTTCCTGTGATATGATCCAACCACAAAACCCCTATTTACACCACTCCCGTAAGGCATACTCCTGGGGCTAGGGATAGCTAAGTAATTCAGCCAATTTTATAGTTGCCTTCCTGTCGGCTGAACATTAAATCAATCATTTTCAACCTCGGCCAAGTCGTGCAGGCATGTGTTCGCTTAGCCTTTTTCTATACGCCTTGTTGTACGGCCAGTATACTCCAAACCACAGGAATGAGTTAACGTCTAAATGCAATTGTTGCAACCGCCAAAATTATCCGGCCTTTACCTCCTAAAAGGTAGAGAATTTGGGAAAAATAGGCGTCCATTTGTCGTTGAAAGAGCGCTCGTGACATTGGCTGACATTAGACGGCGTCTTGCTAATTCACTTGCTGCAGCCCCTAGAAAAAGCACTCTCCAAAACTGGTCTCTTTCTCTTCTGCAATCACAATGACAATCTTTTGTGGCACAAGCTCCATTTTTCCGGAGGATAAATCGCTCTGTAATGTGTTTTGCAGATGCTGGACCTCTGCTTCAGGGGGGCTGATGCGTTTAGACGCTAATCTCTAGATTAAATTTCATTTTAAATCAAGGAGACAAACCGTAAAAAATTAGGTATTGTCCCTTTCAGGTTTTCTTTTGGAATACTTTGCGTTGTATAGACACATCCTCTAGAAGGGATGTGATTTCGCTATCCCTTAGCTGGCTCTGCAGCAAACTTAAACGAGAGTTGCATCCTTTTCCACTTAAGTCGTCGATATCGTTGCTGTAACACGCAAGGCAAACGATATCGTTCAATTACTGAACGCAGAGGTTGTGGCCATCAACGACACCCTCTAAACTCGTTTTCTCGACCCTATCTAGCATTAAAATATTTGCGAGAAAAGGTCTAGCCGGGGAACTCATCACCATACACTCTCTTTTTGCCGGCATAGTTGACTTTTACAGAGAAAGTGCGCATTTCATGTACACCGCATAAGTATTTAGTTAAGGGTATCTACTGTCCCGCCTATCTGACAGTTTGTATCCCAAGAGCAGTCGTGGGCGTATATTTTTTTTAAAATTTAATCAGTCCAAGTATATAAGTGACCAGCATGGATTTTCTACGAAAAAGTCCCTTAAAGTTCTTTTCAAATATTTTTTTCTTTTAACGGTTTCTTGCCTTACATGCAAGTTTTACCTTTACCAACTACGCATTTCCCTGAAAAATCTAGACTTTATTTTCTTTGGTGCATAACAGATAATTTATCAATCTCGAACAGAGTTTGTGGGAGTTTTCACTGATGATTACATGCGGTCAACCAATTATACACTTTCACCTTACTTCCACTAGTAGTCTGACTTATTTTTAGTGTTTTCTAGTAAATATCTCAGTACGTTAAGCAAAAAAACTTCAGCGTATATAAAGAAGCAAATGTATTTCATTGTCCTAGACGTTTTTATATAATAATGTGCCATAAGAACTACATTTGGGACCAACAGAACAGATAAGTAAAAAAATTGTTAAAATAAACTTTTGCTAGCAAGTGCAGCTGCTCTGGAAACGGAAGAACTTGGGGGGAAAAGTACCTTTTAAAACCCTTTTCAGGGCAGTTTGAAATTGCCAACTTTATTTTAGGAGCAAGATCATGTCATATTCACGAACATATGCTGTAGGAACAGTGCAGTATATTATTGAGCTATTTTTACGATTACCTTACTAAGATTGATCCTTTCGTTCACTTCCTGTGAGGGCCAGTCCGCAACGAGCGAACTTTTTCAGCTACATCTTCTACCTCTTCAGCCATTTAGGTCCTTTACTAAACTATTTTACAAATCAAAAGGTTTGGATGATAATTCAAAAAGACGAAGTTCCAAAGTTCTTTGATGTCCCTATTTATCGACGAACTTTTGAAATATTGTGGCCTCTACTACTGACACGCACTTTCATGTGTCGCCTAATAACTTACTTTAGAAATACAGAAGATTTATTACTAAAGAGAAACAAGGAAAGGATTTATAGTCCTACAGCAAAATAACTAAGGCCTTAAAGCTGGAACGGCTATCTTGCAAGCAATTTAAGGTGCGGAGAGTGTTCCCTGCGAGGCAAGACGTCCTTATTAATCTAAACATGCATCATATTCGAAAAGAGAAACAGGGTGTTGATTAAGAAGAATTATGAAGTATAAATGTTATATTAAGCAACGCATAATTATTAGTATACTTGAGAACAGAGACTTGCCTGGCTACGAACTTGGGCACTGGGTTCCCACTCGCCGGCACTCAAGTTCTGCAGTGCTCCGATGGCAGCTTCAATGGCAATGGGATTTGAGGTTTGACGAAGAATTGAAATCAGACAGGCGACAGTGTTCCGATGCCATAAAACTGCTTCTGGAAGATTGGAGATCTGGGACACCTTTGAGACCGGAGGAGCTGCAGGCAAATAATTTAAAAAGTTAGGCGATGGCAGCAAATCGCAGGCCAAGGTTTGAACAGGTTTAATTTCAGGTTTGTCAGCTCTTGTCAGAATAATGAACATTGCTCGTATTCGCTTTATCAATCGCTGACCATATGCATAACAAATACAAACGCAGCTAAGTAAGCAGTTAGAACAGCAGACGCTTTAATGGCGCAGTTATTTCAAAAATTTTTAAAAATATTATGTTTAATGATGTCAGAAAGTTTCGAAACAAAATAAGGATTAATAACTTAGCTGGATACATTTTTGGGAGTGGATTGCCTTTTTCGTTCTACCTCACTTTCAAAAGCAATAGTTAGAGTAGGTGAGTAGAACAAGGAGATACATGCAAAAGTCGGAAAACCACTGGAGTATCAGTAGGGGGTCTTTAAACTTAACGAGGTTCGTGGATAACATACTTTAAAGGATTCAAGCACACAGAAGTAAAGTTTTGTTAAGGATTACTTATGTGGACTCTAACCAAGACACGGGAATAGGACTGCCTCGCTCAACCAAAAAATCTAACCCTGTACAGCATTCCAGGAAAAATAACCCTAGCACTAGCTCTAATAAAAATGCAACGTGTAAACATAGTCTTAGTCTGTATGTATGTTCGACCATCGATTTCGATTAGGTCCACCGAGTGCACCAACAAGTTGATACAGAAAATGACAGTCTCGGGTTTTAGCTTTATAGTGACAGTAGGACGTAGTTAGCGCCACTGCACTCTTCACCTTCTCCCGGAGACTCGAAGACTAAACGGGGTCCGGCGTGGGCTGCTTTCTCCAATGCAAGCCGACACACCGCCTAACTTACTCGTTAGTGACAGTAGACTTTGCGCTGGTACTACTGCGCTGTCTACCATCACTCACGTATAGAAGGCGTCTAGCCAGGCTCCAGTAAGCCAGGACTGGTACTGCTATTTATAATACTACTAACTAGGGTGTAGGTGAGTGACAGTATTTGCTGGTACTATTACTGACTGTTTTGTAGGTCAGAAGTGACGGTGATTAAAGTCAGCACTGGGCTCA